TTTTGAAGATGTTCCGGAAATACTGCGTCCTTTAAACATATATAAAATTAAAGCTTATTTTATGTACTATAAAATAAAATAAAAAAATTTGTCCCGACACCTTATCTACTATGTGCAAATTGCTGTCGACATTTTAAAAAAAATTTAATATTTGCGAAAACATCACCTTCTATAAGGATGTTTTTTGTACTTAAAACTGCCATAAATTTTTCAAATATTAGCAAATCAAAATATTATTTTTTTATATTGAAACCTTAGGTAATTTCCTTTTGTTTGATATCATTTTTTTTGAAAATCTAAAACTTATTCTGCTCACAAAGGGGATTTAAAATAGCAACTCTTTTACAAAAACTAACTTTTTCAATTTAATTTTTGAAAATGTTCCTGAAATACTGCGTCCTTTAAACATGTATCAAATTAAATCTTATTTTATGTACTATAAAATGAAAAAAAAAATTTGTCCCAATGACCTATCTTCTATGCACAAATGGCTACTGTATTCAAAAATACCCTATTTTTCTATTAAAATTCTAGGTTTTGTATTTTATTTTATTATAAGGGGATTACACTGATTTTCATAAATATTATATCAATCTAAATGACATAGTATAAAAAATTAATCATATTTAAATTGTTTTGTTTCTTTGAAGTCGAGAAAAATAACTTTAAAATTGGAACTAGCTAAATTTCCATTTTTATTAATTGACGAATGAGACGTACGGTTTTTGAGACTGTAACACTTGGGTCTTTCACGACTGTGGCACTGAATTTTTTTAAAATTCTTTTTGAGTTAAAAAAAAATGTTTAACTCATTTGATTTTTATCTCATTTAGATTCAATAGCTTCAATAAATATCAAGGATTCCATTACTGTAGTCTCCTCTCGTGAGAAGAAATTCATATTAATATTATTTTACTATGTGGTTTTTTATTTTGTAGCTATCATTTATTTTCTCAGCTCTGATTTGACCTACTTTTTTGACAAATATTTTTTTTTTTTAAATACATTCGACATACTTTATCTTAATTAGGATATTAATAATGAACTAGCAGATCATGCAGCTTTTGTAATTATCCACCAATTTCTTAGAATTAAACACTATCTACAGATTTGTATCGAAACATTTTTTATGATAGTTATTTTAATCACTGTCAGATATCATCTATACTGGACCCAACTATGCCACCACCCCACTGTGCTAGGTTTTTTTTTAATGAAAAAAGCCAACATATAAATACTGACTTAGCAACAGAGACATATTTGGAGTTTTAACCTCTCAGGTAAAGTTTTATGCCACCCCTACTTTATGTATTATAGTTATAAAAAAAAACTGCTGCCTGTAGCAATGGTACCCACTTGCTTCCCCTAAATACATCCCTGCTTGGCGAACATTTGTGATAAGTTTAACTGCAATTTTTTAAATTTAAGTTTATTTTATAGACTGAAGATTTTTCAAGACTAATATTAAAGCTAGTAGATATCAATAATTTTTAAAACTCTATATTATATTTTTAATATTATACTTTATTTTGAAAAATAATGTCTGACCCGTTCTAGAAAAAATTTCTTATTCTAGAGAGGTAATAAAATTTCTTTTTTACAGTTAGTCAAAAATTTCAATTTAGTTGAGATATCGTATTTTGAAAAATAGTCACAGACATTATTCTACAAAAAAATTCTCTAATAAAACGTCTTAGTTATTAATTAAATAATACATACCAACTCAGTTCCAATATACTTTGCTTCATGAACTTTATCGGGATCAAATAAATTATGTTTACATAATACAGCTTGATTATTAACTTCTTTTACATTTTGATTTGGAGTTATTTTAAACCAATAACTTAACCATTGTAATGAAATTGCTTCCATTTCATCCTCTTTTACTGAAACCATGTTCATTTCAGTTATTAGGCTTAGCATTTGTTCCACAAATTCTTTATCCTTGTCTTCCACATATTCTCTATTACTCTTAATATTTAATATAGTATTTTCAAAGTTATTATTATGAGTATCTACTAAATGTGCCAATCGGGGTGATAATTGCCAGTTATAAGACTCAGTTTTTAATTTTTTTATCATACTGGTATGCATGTAAACAAGCATGTATGCATTGTTAGTTTGAAGCATACCCTTTTGAATTTTAGGGACTTTAACCAATTTTGAACCATTTACTCTAAATTCATCTTCAGTGCATAAATTCAAACCTTTTCCTTTTAACTTTTCCACATTTTCATCATTTATTTTATACCATTCTTCTGCAGCAATATCATTAATATGGGCTAAAATATAAAAATTGAAATGTAAATTTATTTTGTTAAACACAAATATTAAATACTTTATTGTATAATGGCCATAAAAACTTAAATATTATGCAGTATAAATGAAAGATACAAACATATGAAAATAAATACACTTTGTTTAATTAAATGGTTATTTTTCAAAATTACTATGCCAATTTTTCAGGAAATCAAAAACATATTTTATATTTTAATAGTGTCTTATTTTAATTATAATTTTTGAAGTACAAAAAAATTATTTCTATAAAATTAACTCTTACTTTTTTGACTTGTGATAAAAAATATGTTTCCCCATACAAATTAAAAAAATTTCAAAGACTAATTTTAGCATCCTTCGAGTTTTTTTAAATAAGCCACAGAATTAATAATTTATAAATAATAAATTAATAATTTGATAATTATAATTAATGCAAAGTTTAGAACAGTAATAAATATCAAAAAAAATTATTTAACATAGGGGTGGTCTTGACAGTTATAAACGCATCATTCTTTAATGTACAAGTATTAAGATTTGATAGGAGCTCTACCAAGTTATATCAATTATTGAGCATCTGTAACAAGTACATATTCTTCAAACCTACTTAATACAAGACAAAAATATTTATATTTAAAACGATTTTATACCAGAAAGCAGGCGGAGAAGAAATGTTTAGTAATAAAACTAAATTAATTAATTCTGAAACACTGGTCAAAAATTATTATCTACCAATCATATTTCTAATTAAATCATAATATAATAAAGAAACTAGTTAATTATGTATTTTGTGACTTAAAAAAATTTATTTGTTGCCTTAGTAAGGTATAAGAGAAGAATATAAAAAATATTTTATGATTGATAAATTAAGAAAAGTATGTAACTAAAAGAAAAACATTATCAATATTATTTTTATTTTTTGATTAAATAAGTGGATCATGATTAAAGAATCACCCTGTAAACAAATTATTATAATTTCAGAATTAAAATTTTTAATTTTTAACATTATGTTTTATTAGATTTAAAAACTCCCTAAAGCGGCTTTAAATTTAAGAAAATTGCAATTTTTAGATTTTTCCCTTTAATTAAACTACAAGAACAATCTCCATGCCAAATTTCAAGTATCTATTTTTATAATGTTAATGATGAGTGAGTGAGTAACAAAAGTAGACATTTTGAAAGACTCCATTTTATATAGACATTAAGGGTTTTTTTTTTTTTAACTTTTTTGCAGAATTCTAAGATACAAGAAATTAATCTATACTTAAAAATTCTAGAGTGTATTTTAAATAGAAACCAAGTTATCTGGGTTAAAAAAACCGGATGCGTTGTTTACAATAAAGATAGACTTGCATTGCTAGATATTGGCCAGGCGCAATGATGTGCATTCATTGAACTTTTAAAGGGATCTGTGTATGTTATAATTTTTTTCAAAAATTATTTTTTTGTTTAAATTGACACAATTTATAATTACTAAAATATATCTTACAAATATAAATACAACAAATATTTTTGAAATGACATACATTAGCTAATTACAATGGAATCCATTCAGTTTTTTTCAACATACACCAATCAAATGGAAAGTGTTAAACTATGTTTTGAATTATATGCAATTAACTTTGCGGGAGCCAAAATTAATCAATTACCTTGTATAATTTTAACAACAATTCATGAATAGGAATTACATTGATGACTTATTTTAAATAGTATAAAATTACTACTAAATAACAAAATTTAAGTCGCTTGAAGTGCTAGAGGATACATCCATGTTTTTAAAAATCTTAAAATATGTTACACCAAATTTAAATGTATTATCAGATATGATACTTAGGCATTTTCAAATAGCGACTGACAACATTTACAGCAAATGTTAGGATGTATTCATGTTAACAGTTGATTTCTGATGATTCGAACTCAACTGTAAACATGAATATATCCTCAAGCACTTCAAGCAACAAGACAATCCATGAAAGCTTTAACACATTCATAAAATTTAAGTCAATATACAAACCAATATAATGCCCAGAATAAGCACTAGAACCTTTATGAATAAGAACAGCACATAAATTATACATGTGTTTTTCTTTTAAAGCTTCATCAAGATGAAATGGCAAATTTAAATACTTTGCCATATCTAATGTTTGTGAAAATTGAATATAAGTATTGAGCTTTTTTTTCTGCATTGTTTGTCTATATAACAAAATAAAAATTTATAATCTAATGATTTTTTTTAAAATAAACTCTAATTTACCTGTCATAAACAAAACGCATGAGTTGTATATTTAAAACCGGAGGTAGATTAGTCAAGCAAATTCTTCTAACAGCGTCTTGTTTACTATTACAATGATTACAATAGTACTGGTCATCGCCAGAAAGCTGCTCTTCTTTTAAAAACTCTTGAAGACTGTCATTTAAAGTTTTATGCCCTTTAATGTTAAGGTCAAGTTCATAAAAAGTTGATGGACGTGTGGATTCAGTTTTACAATTTAAACATCTAAACAAAATTAATCTTTAATAGTATGTACAATTATGGACAACTAATTATTTATCTTACGTAGTAACATATTTATATTCTCCGCGAAAATTATCTTTTATCATATCTCTAACTGATGTATCTGATTGAGTACTAAATTTATTTTCTAAGACTGATAGAAACAAATTTGAAAATTCCTAAAATTAAAAATTTTGTTTTTTCATTTAGTTATGTAATAATGTAACTATGTAATAAAAAAACTATATGATATTTACATGAGCATCTTGCTGGAGAGCAGTATTAATTCTTAAAGTAGTGATAAAATCGCCAGGATCAACTGACCTCTGTTTACCACATTGCATTAATGCAAATACTAATTGCAAATGACCAACACTAGTTTCTGGTATATAATTATTTTCAGATAATAAAGATTTATTTTGTTTTTCAAAAGAATCTTCTTCAGGATTCCAATTAAAAATTGCTTTTCTAAAATTTAAATTATCTATTTAAGTATAGGTTTGTTTATATATACATTAATATCATAAAAAGTTAGAACACAAAATTTAAATACATAATTATGTATTTTAACTTTTAACATTAGCCTGTTATCATATTAAATATAAATAAACATAATAACTGATAAATTAATATATTTATAAAGACAAAATAATTGAATACAATAAATATGAAGATAATACGGTTAATACTGAGATCTATGAATAGTTAATTAAATGAATAATGATGATCATTATTTATTGAACATATAAAACGTAATATAAAAATATAAATAAAAACCATCAAAAAATAACAATGATATGCAATTGATATAATAAAAATTGTTCACTTGTGGCTAATATTTAAAATTAATTTAAAACTAAAAATTTTTTAAAAATATTTAACCAAAAAAGCCATAAAAATTACAATATAAATTATGACTATGTAATACAAGAACAGTGTTACCATTATCAACACTAAACACAAATTGTATATTTTAAGCATTTAATGAGTTTATTATTTAATTTATTGAGTTAAATAAGTGTAATATTTTTTACTCTTAAATTAATAATTTAAATATATTATTGAACTATTGGACATAATATACCAAAAAAGTTAAATTTGATGAAGCATTACTTATGACATTCAAAATTAAACCATCAATATTATTAGTATTTAATATAAATTTTATAGTAATTACAGTTAGGTTTTAATGATATTGAACTAAACATAAGTTTTCTGTTTATTCAATAATTTCTGACGCAAAATACTGAATAAGTCAAATATATAATTTGCTTAATATTTTTATAAAGGCCCAAAAATTGTAAAACAAAATTTTATTCTAAAAAAAATTTTTTTTTAATGTCTTTTATTATTAAAATAACTTGGTATACTAAAATTTTTAATAATTAATAAATTTAACATAGTTATCATTATTAAATAATTTAATAAAATTATTATTATATAAAACAGTTATTAATTGTTATAAAAATTACCTAAAATTAATATTATGAAACCATAGCTGCAACAAACTATTAATATAACAAGTAGCACCTAGATTTTTTAAACCAACAAACTTATTTTGGCGGCGTTCTAATTCTGGATCTTCATAATCTAAAACGGGCGTTCTCACTTTATCTTGTAACCATCTCTGTTCACCAAGGCCAGATAAACAGTATGGATTGTTTTTACAATTACGTCTAAAAAGAAAAGTTCGATGATTTAAAACAATGTAATAACACTACTAGAATAATAAACTTGAGTTTTTTAAAATAAAAATATAAACATTAACTTTATAATTTAAACAATAGAAAGAGATATCAAAATACATGGTATTCATACCTGATAATCATTATTAAAAAATGAGTAAACAAATAAATTATAACTTTTGTTATTAATTAATGTAATGCTTACATTTTCAAATTTAAAATTATAATATAAATGGACTACAAAAAATAAAATAAATTTTATAACTCACAATTAACTTGTTTTTATCTTTAAATACAAAGCAAAAAATTAGGATTTCTCATTATTAATAACGAAAAAAAAATTATATTTGAGTTCTTCAAAATAATTTTATTTGAATTATTTATTTGAACATATTAACTAAAGTACTAATGATATTTAAATTAATAAGTAATCGAATAAAAAATGAAAGATATAAAATAAAAAATGTATTAATCAATTCCTTACTACCGATGAATGCTATTGGATATTCAAGTCAATGAAAATTAGTTTTTACATCTATTATTTATCTTTTATCATTTTTATAAATACTGTATTTAATACAATAGTGATTTTTTTTTAATTACTTACCTACAAGTAAGTGGTTTACATTTTGAATAGTTTAAACGATAAGCATAGTTTATATGATGAGATTGTATATCATTTGGATGAGTATTTTCAGCCCATGACCACGGGCTTTTTTTTTCGTGTTCTTGACGTTTTTTTGCCATTTCATATAAACCATGTACGTATTTTAAAATATACTAAAATATACAAATACACAAATAATTTTATTATTTAATAAAATGAAACTCTGAAAATATTTTAAAATAAAATAAAAATATTTCATTAATTTTTAAATATTCAGTGAACTTAAATTCTGTGAAAAATAAATTATATTTATATATTGCGTCTCTTACAAAATTACTTTAAAATTATAAACCACTGCACAAAAAAATTCAAAATTATTATTTACTAAATTTTTGAATTAATTTCTTTTTAAATCATATATTTTTTGTAAACTGCTTAATGCTTAGTATAACTTATAATATATTATAATAGTAAAGATAATTATGTACTATTAACAAAATAAAAATTTAAGTCATAACAAAAAATTATACTTTAAATTCTGTTATAACTTATAGAAATTAACAAAATCGTAATTCGGAAAAAGCCGCACACATAACATATAAGAATATATAAGCATTTAATATATGTTCATTGATAAGAAAATGTGTCATGGCGTCATATATTACCGCGAATATTGATATAAGTTTATATGATGATAATATGAATACAGTTTTGTATAATTAATACTTCTGTATTTATGTACCCACAAATCTAGTTTAGTGTTAAGTTAAATAAAATTAAACAATGGAGAGAATATTCAAATAAAATTAGAACGATTAAAATAATATTTATGATTAGAGGAGAGAGAAAATAAAATTGACAATCCTATAGACGTTATTTAATAACAAAATAATTTTTCGTAAGACTATAGCGGAAACTTAATTTGCTAAATTAATAAAACTTTGCTGGCTTATAATTAGGTGTTTTTAGTTCAAGAAGATTATAGTGCACAGACTAGAAAAATAAATAATTTTAAATTGTGTCATTTTACCTCTAAGCAAAATGACAGTTATAGTTATTGAATTACTATAAAATAAGTCTTCTTTAAAATCTTTATAAAGTGGTATCAATAATTTTACCCACACTGAGAAATAATAATCCAAAATAACGTTTTTTTTTTATGAGATTTACAAAAATACTTAAAAAATATATCAACGAATTTTGATTATTAGTGTGTCAATTTTCATGAATTTGTTTGTAACTTAATTTATGTATGTATTTATGTGATGTAACTTATTCTTTATTAAATATTGTAAAGAAAATTAAAAACTATTTATTTTAAGTTAAACTACAAAAAAAATTGTGGTTTATCCATAACTTGAATTTATTTAATTTAAACAATTAGAATAATATTCAACATTTATTTTTTAAATTGGGAGAAAATATCTGTAGTAAAAATATACAGCATAAAAATAAAAAAAATACGGGTTTTAAAAAAAAATGTATTTACATATAATGTTATACATAAGCAACCAAATATGGTACGGCTAAGGGTGTCTTAGTCTTCCTAAAATTATACTAGATTTTCTACTGTCTAGTAGATTAAACTCATTTTTTTTTATCATTCTCGCAGTTAATACACATCTTCTATTTATTAAAGCAGCTGTGAACATGCACATCGATTATAAATTTAGTATTTAATAAATAAATACAATAGTCACTATTTACGGAGTAGTTAGTAGAGCTAAGAAATGAAAAATGATATATTATTTCGTTATACGTGAAGTAATAGAATGTTGAACAATAAAAAATTATTATCAATTTTTTAATTAAAAACCGAGAACAGTGAAGTTGCGACACAGTGGGGACATGGCATAGTTGGGTCCAGTATAGATTTAATCTGACGGTGATTAAAATTACTATAAAAAAAAAAAATGCTTCGATGCAAATCTTTAGATAGTGTTTATTGGTGTAAAATTGGTGGATTATTCCAAAAGCTACATGATCTACTATTTCTTTATTTATATCCTGATTACAAGTATTATGATTTATAAGTAACGAGACCTGCAAGACGGAGGAGTAGCCTTGCCGGCACATCCCACGGGCGTACCGCCTTTGCCGCCAGAGTTCGCACGGACCACAACGGGTCCGATTTCCGGCGGCACCTTGTCCTTTGGACGGCGGAGGGCGTCCAGCAGTGCACTATGCACGTCGCCCTCCTCCAACCATTCCTCCACGTCCAGGAGCATGACGGGCACTGTCATCACCGGACGGTGGACGCGCACGTCATGCTCCTTCAGGGCGTCCTTTTAAGCTGTCAGCTAGGCTGTCAAATCTCCAAAAGGACGGCTCTCGTTCGGGTCCTCCTGGTCCCAGCCAACTGGACACCCAGAGCTTTGAGGTCAACGGCAGCCATCGTGGTCTTTATGACCACGGAGTACCGTTGACCTTCCCAGAGTGTCCCGATCACCACCGCCTCTGTCCTCGGGACTTTGGCCCGAAGCTGGGCGGCTGTCGGGCTCTTCGCCGCCTTGGAGTGGGGACTCCGTGTTCCCGACAGCTTTGGGTGGTGTTTGGTTGGGTTCCACCAACAGGCCGACTGGGACGACGCGTCCTGTTTGGTCGCCGGGGTTCCAGGACCAGTAGCCGGCGACACCCGCTCCGGAGTGCGCGTCAGTTGGAGATCGGCGAGGGCCCTAACGCTTTCTATGAGGGCCCTTGCCATCTTCACCACGTGACGATGCGGAGAGTATACCTCCATGACGTCCTCGAGCTGACCCGCCTGCTCTCTGGCCAGGTCCAATCCCACCGACAGCACTTCGTCGGACCGGGCGCAATCACCCTATTTGGTGACCCGTCGGCGTTGAACTAATCAATTGCCGTCAGGGCCACCAGTTTGGGCTTTTTGGGCTCACTGGCCGGAGGGACTGGCTATGAGGGCAACCCCCTCAAACCCTATAATACTATGAAAATGGATTCGAATGGAGTCAAGGTTACTGCATCAGGAAATTCGGATGCCCCAGTGCCGGCGGTTGGTGGGGGGTGTACCCACCAGGTGTCGTTATCAACCAAATGCAGAAGTGCTGAGACAGGCTTCTGCAGCCAACCACGGGGTTGGTACTGCGACTGCAGGGAGTGGTGGTGACCAAGCCACTCCCACCAGTGAAATAGCCGGGACGGTATTGGCAACGGATTGCGCGGAAACTTTAACTCCGTTTGTTGCCATTTCATAAATATATATGATTTGAGGGGGTAACCCAACCCAACCCAACCGCCCGTTATGAAATTACCCTCGATCGCTACCGCTTATTCGTCCACTCTAGGAGTGGCTTATATCACAGCTACCCTGCATATCTGCAGGGTTAACGAGCGAACGAGGAGCTCATTGCCCGCGACCACTTATTCGTCAGTCCAAATGAATGGATTGCTTATTTCGCGGCTAACCTGCATATCTGCAGGCTGTTCCTCAATCCGCAACCTGAGGACGCTCCCGATACCTCGAGCTAGGGAGACTGCGCTCGTGCCGACGTTTCGTAGCCCCGTAAAGCCCGATCACACCGACACTGTAGCGCAGCGCAACGGGTTCTTGTACTAATCTATCCAATTCAAATCCTACCTCATCTTTAATGCTAAATGGCAATGGTCTGGGTCTTAAAAAAATTGGTTTAGAATTATCTTTTAAAAATAATTTACATTTACTTTTATTATAAGTACCTAATTTATCAGTAAAAACTTCAGAAAACTAATAATTAATTCATTTACCTGACTTACAAAATCTTCAGTTATATTATTAATTTCAAGGTCAATACTTATCTTAATACCTAAGATTTTTATCCAGTAATTTCCTAATAGGGGGGACCACCATTTTCAATAATTTAGTACATTTTTGTCTGGCCCGCGCTACATTTTCAAATTGCAACATACAATTTTAATGTTTATCGTCTATACTCTATAATATATAATGTATAGTGTATAGTCCATACTCTATCTTATCGATATAATAATTGTTATTTGATATTGAACATCGTTAAATATATAAATGTCATAAAACAGTTATAGTATATACACACGTATGTATACATATAGTTTTTAACCATAGCTGTTTGTAGCAACCTATTAAATTATATCAGTTTCTTCGTATCGTTTGTGTCGTGTTGTCGTTGAATTTATTATTTTCGTGTTTTTGTAGTGCCTAATAATGTCCGCAAAAAAGCGTAAAATTGATGATGAAAATAGAACTTTTAATACCTCATGGGAGAATGACTATTTATTTATTATTAACATACAAAAATAACCTCAATGTCTAGTTTGATTAAGCGTTATTGCGGTCCTAAAAGAATATAATTTAAAAACGGTCGCACAGTGGGGTCGAGGCACAGTGTGGACGAGGCATAGATGGGACAAGTATAGATGATATCTAACAGTGATTAAAATCACTATCATAAGAAACGCTTCGATGCAAATCTATAGATAGTGTTTCATTTAGAGAAATTGGTGGATTATTCCAAAAGCAACATCAACTCTTATTTCTTTAATTATATCCTGATTAGTAGTTCTTTGATTTTAAAATATAATATATGAATAAATACTAATTATAGTTTTTAAATTCAGTATGAAATTGTGAGGCCAGTTATGATGTATGGTTCATAGTGTTGGGCAGTTGATAAGAAAGTAGAGCAGAGAATAAGTGTAGCAGAGATGAGAATGCTTAGTTGTATGAGTGTAGTGACTAGAGAAGATAGGATAAGGAACGAGCATATAAGAGGAAGTAAAGGTGTTGCGTCAATCATGGATAAGATGACAGAAAATAGACTTAGATTGTTTAGTCATGCTATGAGGAGAGAAGAATCGGAAGCTGTAAGAACAGTTATAGAAATGAATGTTGAAGGAAGAAGAGATAGAGGAAGACCAAAAAAGAGATGGAGGGATGCTATTGAATGCGATTTGAGGACAGCTGATGTGAGCGTAGAAGATGTGGGAGATCGTGTCAAGTGGAAGCTTAGGATAAGGGTGGCCGACCCCAAGTAGTTGGGATTAAGGCAAAGAAAAAGAAAAATATTACCAGAAATTCCGGTGGCAATTGACATAATATGATTGTTGTTTCGGAATGTACAATTTAGCGTTTAGTTGGGTTTAAATAATATAGCGTCAAATCAATTACCTACTCTATCGCTTGTATATTAATATACACTACACTTTAATGATACAATAAATAAATAAACTCACACATACACACATATGCATTTATAACATTGTGTCTAACGTAAGTGTAACATGATAAAAAGTAACCGTAAAATGAAAAAAATGGAATATAAATTTTAGTACTCATATTAAATGTAATGTAACTCGAAAAATATTTGTTTAAATGAAAAAATATAAGATAATTTTTTTGTTTATAATTGTCTTTTAAACAACTTTTGTACGAAATTTTTTTTTGTAAGTTAAATATTTTTTGAAAAAATTAAAAAAGCTCATATTTTTGAACTTTTGCAAGACTGTAAAAAAAGTTCAATTTCAATCAATGAGGACTATTAGTATGTCATTATACATATTTTAATTCAACTATTAATAAAACAAAAG